TCAAAAAGGAGCAGAGTGACATGTACTTTCACGATGTACTTGGGATTTGGAAATAATGTAGTGAGAAGTACCTCATAAAAGTAGTAGAACTCCTTGTCTCCAAATTGAAAAGCCTAACTTCTTTCCATGACTTACAGTTTTACTAACTCAAAGAGCTTAGGGCTTTGAAATCTTTTTAAGAAAGTGCCCTACAAATCGCCTCATACTTCAGCATGATAAGCATCATTCTCTCTCTTGAAAAGATTTTCAGAGATTTTGGATAAAACAAAAATCAGACCAGTACAAAAATTCACTGATTCTCAGTCACCAGGTTACACTAATAAGCTCATATGCTCCTTATATTAACAGTATTTACAGTATTAGGACTAGGGCAATATCTTTTCTACAGGGAAATTTGCATGTACATTACCAGTTTATTGCAAGGCTGAATTCATTATTAAGATTAAGTCTGCATTTTTATAGGTGATCTTCAGAAGCCTAAGATAACCTTTTTACTCATACAATTTCTGCAGTAGCATTATCTATTACATTAATAATTATCAGCTACCACAACAAAAAGTTAAAAAAAAATAAATTACTCACTTGCTCCTGTTTTTTTCTGATCCAGTTCTTCTCCAGGAGAAGAATAAGGTGGCAATGTCATATTTTCTTCTTTAAAAATCGGTGGAGTTGATGCCAGCTGACTGTATGTGGAGGGTTTTGCCCTCGGAGTTTTAAAAGATGTTTGATCAAGCCAGCCAATGGGACCATCAAGTTCTCCTAACAATTTAGGCTCATATGAGGGTGCTTCTGCACTGAGTTCTTCAAACCAGTTGAGACTGATAGGTCCTAAGTCTATGAAGAAAAACATACAGAAAACCACATATTAAAAAAAAAAAAAGAAACCTGCCAAATGGCATGCAGATAACACATGACAAGTATGAGCTCATGTGTTATTAAACCAGCACATAAAATAGAAGTCTTCATTCTATAGATGATACATGGAAGAGAAGACCATAATTAGTTGTAAATTAATACAAAATTAATGCTCCATGCAGGATGTGAAAACACATTAGGCATTTAATACTAGCAGTAAAATGCATTGCTCCTTCCATTCTCATACTAATGTTTATTTTGTTTCTAGATAGCTTTGAACTCTTAATACCCACAAAGTATACAAGAATGCTGCCCAAATTCTCAGACCATTAACAAAACCAGTCAGAGAGCAGATAAATATCTAGTTTGCTTAAAATTAGAAGTATACATCTGGCTTTTAGTTTATCTCTTATTTTACTATATCCTTTATATCCTTTTAACATTAATAAATCATATGATTACAGGCGCATTTGGCAAAAGAGTAAAACTGGCATGCATGCGAGTATATAAGGAAGCCACAGCTAAAAAACAAGTACAAAAAATAACTGAGCACACACTGTGAAAAAAACCTACAAATAAAATTTACATAGCTATTAAAAAAAAGGTAGATATTGGTGAATACAGATTTGGGGCAGAGCTGCTAAAAAGCTGCATAACACTTTTATATGGAATATACATAGCGTACAGCAGATGTGTATAAAATAGCAACGTCCAGAAAGCAACCCTAATAAAAGTTATTTACTGTAGACAAGGTGTACCTGATTCACTGCAATGTGCCTTAAACATTTCAAAGAAAGTTGGTCTTTCCATAGGTTTGTAAGCCATTTTCTGATCCATAACATTACTGGAAGAGTTGTTGAAAAACCTGAGAAGAAATAAGAAAACACTTTCATACAGTGCTATTCTAATGTCATGGGGCTGCAAGTCTTAACCCTGCTTTCCTGCGTTTCTTGGTAGCTGTGTGGTAACCCAGCCTGTTCAGCTTTAGGACTGTGATGTGTGTGTTCAAATGCCACAATGATGAACACGGTATGAAGACAGCAAACAAGAAGAGTATAGGGAATTATACCAGAGATAATAAAAATACTCAACAAATACAAGAGGAAAATCAAGATGGAATGGGCAGAACACTTTTGAGGTATTTTAAATACAAATCAAAAATCGACACTCACTACTATATATTAGGATAGAATATATACTATTACATATAAACTCTTACAACCATTACAACTTATGTGCCAAGAATTTGATTTAAAGTTGCTTTCAAGCAGAGCAGCCGTTGTCAGTTTCACAGTTCTATTAAAAAGCAGGTGAGATGGCCATAGAAAATTTGGTGTTTAACACATTTATTGTTTCCACTGTAAAATCAGCTTCCCACCTGATTACTGTTGTATACACACTGCCTTACCAAAACGACGGGAAAGACAGCCATTTAAAGAAAGGGTAAAGGCTACCCTAAGACAGAAAGTCGCGAAGTTAAGCACTGCCTCCGAAGTACGTTTTAAAAGACGAAGCGAGTTATCCACGCCGCTTCCCGTGAGGGCAAGCTCCTGCCGGGCAACCCCCCACGCACGGGGCTGAGGGCGAGCCCCGACCCCCCAGCCCGGTAACTGCAAATCCCCGCGCTGGCTGTGAGGAGAAGGGCGGCAGCGGGAGGGACACCCCCCCTCCCCCGGCGGGGTTAGACCCGCGGGGGGTGCAGGGCCGCCCCCGAGACCCCGCCACCCGGTTCAAAGCTTGGCGCCAACGCAGCCCCGAGCGCCTGCGCACCGAGAGCATCCGCCGTTCCCGCCTTCCCCGGCCCCCACGTCACGGGAAGGAGGCGGTGTAACGGCCGGCACCGCCTCTCCTCAGCGGGGCGACAGAGCGGCGGGGGGGGGGGGGGGGGGGGCTTCTGCGAATGCTTTCCCTCCGTGGCTGATTTCTCACAATACAGAAGGGAGCGTCCTGAGCCAAGCGTCAGCCAGCTTCTTTTAGTCACACGTCCCTACGTACATGAGGGACGAAGCATCGCACCCGAGGTCGACACACCCCAACCGACTGTGCAATAGCAGTTAACACTGCTATCCCACAACAAGGCTCCGGATGCCTTACAGTGAGCAGCAGTGCTGTGATGGAGTGCCGTTCCTGTGGTGGTCTCAACCGCATCTTTTTAGTTAGGTGGTTTTGTAGGCCTTAGCACATGAAATTATTATAAATTAAGAGAATAGTATTATACTCCACATACATGTATATTCCTATTTTGACTTTGATAAGTTCTTGGCCTCCGCAATGAGTCCATAAAATAACTTCCAATTGGATGGAAAATTCTTCCTATTACCAATTTTGAGTTAGCCATCTTTCGTTTTAGCTGGATGTTCGTCTGCTCGTGTGTTACAAAGGGGTTTATTCCTAACTCTCCATACCAGTCCTTATTTTACGCAGTTTTATCGCATCACCTACTTACTCATCAGTCACCACCTTCAGTGTCTCTTCACACAATAATTTTTTCCGTGTCCCTCCTCCTTCCAACGAACTCCTTTAACTTCTAGTCCTGCCGTGTCCTGGGGAAGTAACTGGTTCTTCCCAAAGCATTCCAGAGGAAGCCACACCATTGTTTTGAATGATGGCATGTAGTTTCCAATTTAATCTCCATCTCCCTCCCAATGTACCCTAACTTACTCTTTTGTAGCTAGCCGCACCGCAGTCATAAGTTTTAACTTGGTCATCTCGATACCCTAGTTTTGCTTTGAGTCGATTCAGACAGTACTTTGAAAACCCAAGTTTAACGCGGAGCCTTGAGCCATCGAGCTTTTAACTATGATGAACGTCTGTTTCCTGAATCTCAACCTCTTTTTGTTCCATAAAAATGTTGTTTCTTACTGATTTATTTCAGATGCTTGAAAGGATCTTTCTCAAATACACTGGGAGCATTTAAAGACATCAGCCCTACCAGCTTTTCTCTAGCCCCTGTCTTGTTGGCCCATTGAATTTTATAATGCAGCACTTCTATAAAGCTGGTGAGGAGTCATGCAAAGGAATTATTTCACATCACAGCAGGTCCAGGGATTTGGGGATTCTGCAGTCTCTAAAGACTCACAAATACAGTTTGGATGATTTAATTATACTATTTTAACTATATTACCTTAGAATTGAACTAAGGTGATGTAATTATGGAAGAAGGACTATTAGTCTAATACGTAAGTGCTTGTATTGCTAAAATTTATTTCATTATACAGGTATTAAGCCACTTTTCCCAGTATAACTGTTTTCCCTCTGGAGCGTTGTACAAACTGAAGTATATTCCATCTTTTCCTAAACCAATACAGTTGACAGAAAAGCTGCATGCAGACCATCCCCAAGTAATGAGGCAACGGGGATGCTCAGACCTTTCAATACCGATAAAGGGGTGTAATTGCCTGCATTCTTTGCTCAGTTGTCTGTGGGGTACCCACATTATGTGGGCTTTGTGAGTTTCCCAAACCCCCTTTTCCTTCTTTTCAGACTGGAAACAGAAGGAGTTGTGAGCAAGCAGAGTCCCCCTCGCTAGGAAAGCCATGGCTGTCCCAACTATGGCTGAATTACATCGGTGCACCTTGACAGGCTCTTGCAGAGGTGTGCTACTTTTTGAGCACCAATTACTTCTCAGGGCTTACACAGCTCTGTCAGGATCTCCACCGTTTTACAGCTGTGTAAGCAACTGAGCTTTTATTCAGCCCTGGATTTGTTGTTGCGGCTCCCAGCCCTGTGGCTGCGTTTCCTACCTGCGCTCACAGACGAAGGCCTGCAGCAGCAGAGCCAGCCGGCTGGCGTGCGCAGGGCATAGCTGCGGGCTAGCTCCATACAGCCCGTGGCCTTCTAAAAGATCTTACTGAGGCAAGGAAGGAAAATCCCCTATGCAATGGCCCAAGAAGGGCTTCGTGGTCTGCATGCCCAGGCTTCCCACACCGTGTGCTTGGAAACACACCAGCTCCTGTTTCAGCTCAGCCACCAGGAAAAGGCCCTGGGAGCAGAGGCGAAGGCAGGCCTGCAGCCCTCCCTTTGCAATCAGTCCACTGGGCTGGGGCCAATTTCCCCATCAATTAGCAACAATTAGCAGCAGCTCTCCAGATAAGATAAAGGCAGGGCAAGAGAGACAAGCAGAACCACTGACTGTGGTTATGATCATGGAGGCCTTCATCTACTCCCCTTTCAGCACATACCAGGGCTTCAGGGGCAGCCTCACGCCGAGCCGCAGCGGCGACCCGGCGGTGAAGCTTACGCCGAGCCGCAGCGGGGACCCGGCGGTGAAGCAGCCCAGCTGGAAGCAGAGCAAGAGCAGCGGCATCAGCCCCTTCCTCGGGAGGCCCCTCACCCCCATGTCCTCTGACTACCTGGACAGCTACCGACGGGCCCAGCTCCAGGCCCTGCTGTCGCAGGTGAGCCCCGGGCTGATGCCGCGGCTGTGCCGGGTGAACACCAAGGAGGTGGGCGTGCAGGTGAACCTGCGGGCCGACGCTGCCGTGCAGTGCTCGCTGGGGCTGCGCACATTGCCCCTCGGCTGCCCCCTTAACGCCGCTGCCCTCCGCGCCCATGGGCACCTCGCTGTCTACTCACCTGTGCCGGACCGCCGCCTCTTCACGCTACCTGAGGCCACTGGATCCCAGGAGAAGGAGGAGGTGGTGTTGGAAATGACCCCCGAGGAGCAGAAGGTGGAGGATGGCAGCAGAAAGCAGCAGGAGGGCCAGGCAGAAGCTGCTCTGCCAAGTGAGGAGACAGCGGAGATGCCACAGGAGGAGGCCGCAGCCCCCAGGCGACGGGCCACCTTCCAGGTGCACAGCCCTGGGACACCGGGGCCTGAGGAGAGGCTGGGACCTGGTGCAGCCCATTCTGGGCAGCAGGGTGGGGGGTGAACAGTGAAGCAGGCTGGAGAGAAATCTGCTCTTGAGCAGCAAAAGGCACAGTGGTCCCCACCCTGGCTTCCCGCTCAGGGCTGCACCCTTTGCCCTGGGTTGGTGATCAGTCCCTGGGGAGCTCTGTCTCCCTTGCAGCAGTGGAGCCTACTGCCTGTGAAACCAGGTGCTGTAATGAGGGAGCTGGGCTGGGCTGGGTGGTGTTCTGGTGCTGGAGGCTGCTCAGTCAACTTTCTCTCTGCAGTTTTTGGAGCAGAAGTATGGCTATTTCCACTGTAAAGACTGCAAGACCAGATGGGAGAGTGCTTATGTGTGGTGCATTTCTGGAAGCAACAAGGTAGTTAACAGGTCATTTCTTGCTCCCGAGACTTGTAAGAATGGCACCAAATCTGTGACGATTCAGATGTTTTGGCACAAATTTAGGTACCTGTACTGAACATGCCAAGTAGGTCTCTATAGTAACTGAGAAATTGCTTTTTTCAGGTGTACTTTAAGCAGCTCTGTCGCAAATGCCAAAAGGGCTTCAATCCCTATCGAGTGGAAGCAATCCAGTGCCAGGTAAGTTACAGATTTCTGTGTCCTGGTAAGACTGCCAGAGTTTGTCATACAATCTAATAGCTTACAGTTGCTGAATTAGATATTGACTTTATCTGGAAGAGAACTTGCTTTCATTTAAGTACTAGGAAACGTTATTTGGGAAAGGTGTAATGGGATAGGACTCCCTCCTCTTGCAGGTGGCTTACATGAACTGTTTTCTGTTCATATGGTGTTATGCCTAGCTACACATAGGGTAGGGTTTTGTGCTTCTACGTGAGAAGGCTCTTACAGCTTTACTCCACGGGGTTTTTACCACAACAGCTCTTTTAAGGGTATCAGCCCAAATGTGTTGCTATGATTAAGGAAAACTAAATGTCAGTCTAACATGAAGTGAGCACCTTTGATGTGCTACTAATAAAATGTCTTGCTTCTTCAGACCTGTTCAAAGACTCGTTGTTCCTGCCCTCAGAAGAAAAGGCACATTGATCTCAAGAGACCTCATCGCCAAGAACTTTGTGGCCGCTGCAAAGGCAAGAGGCTGTCCTGTGATAACACCTACAGCTTCAAATATATTGTCTGATCTGCGTGCCCTCTTCTGTTCTGCGCTTTGCACTTTGTCAGTCTCTTGCAATGTTTTGACTCTAGGCTTTTGACCTGGCATTGGATAATGGATAAAGTCTTTTGTATTATTTATAAAGTATATAACTTTATTGTATATATGCTGTGAATGAAGTTCAATAAAAGTTTGCACTAGTTTGTTACCCCTTAGTTTCATCTTGCTGGGATGAAAGAGGAAAGTCTATCCGGAAGGAAACAGAACCTATTTGATTTCCTAAAGAAAATAGGTTTTGGTTTTAGTCTGTCTTGAAGGAATGCTAAGATCAAAACTGCAATAGCAAGTTTTTCCTTCAGTCACTCAAACTGGACTAGTGTGGAAGATGCATATGTTCTGGTGTATGAAGTTTGGGGTAAATGCATCTCCAAGTGTTTCTTCTCACTGCCTCTGTCAAATGCATTTAAAAAAAAAATAAATAAATCACAGTGGTGTGATAATCAAAGACTATATGCCAGAAGACTACATCTGTAAGATAGGAGGGGAAAGTGTAAGCTTCACATGTTTTCTAAGTAAGGAGGGGAAAAGCCTTTTGAGCAGGGGTATCTGTGACGGAATGTAACAGATTCTCTAGATTTAGTGTGTCCCAAAAGAGGTAGAAGAAGTCTCTGTGCCCTGATTCAAACACAGGCTTGTGCCTCAGAAGCTTTCCAGCCATGTAAGGTATCTCCAGGGTAGGTGGCTGAAATATAGCGGGAGTTAACTGAATGCGCTTTCATGGAGACAAGATGCAGTCAGGGGAATCCCAATTAAAGTACTGGTGGTGTAGAAGCACAGTGGGGCGTTATGGCAGTTTGTGTTGTCCTAGGACTTCAGTGAAGCTTTGTTGGGAATATACTGATTAGATTCTATTCTACCTGAAGTTTAGAAATGATGCTAAGAAAGTTAGGTCGTTACTTTATGGGTTTTGTTTTATCTGTGAAGAATCATAGAATACTTTAGAGTGGAAGGAACCTCTGGAGGACCAATTGAATCGAGTTGCTCAAGGTAGTGGCTAATGGATTGTACTCTACCTGCAGGACAGTAACAAGTGGAGTACAGCAGGCGGTCTATCCTGGGACCTGTCTTGTTCAACATCTTTACCAGTGACCTGGAAGAGGCAACAGAGTGTATGTGTCAAGTTTGCAGGTGATGCCAAACTGGGAGGACCAGCCAATACAGCGGAGCACAGCACGGCCATTTGGAGGGATCTCAGCTGGCTGGAGGGATGCGCCAACAGGAGCCTTGTGATATTCAGCAGGGACAAGAGGAAATCCCTGCGCCTGGGTGGGGAGAACCCTTTGCAGTAACGCAGGCAGGGGACTGCCTGGTGGGGGGGCGGCTCATCGGGATGTGCCCTCAGGGCTTGGCTGGCCGTGAGCTGGGTGCGGAGCCAGCAGTGGACCCTGGTAGCAAAAGGCAGCAACAACATCCTGGGCTGTACCAGCAGCAGCAGAGCCAGCGGAGCAGGGGAAGCGATTGTCTCCCTTTACTCAGCACTCACTAGATCACATCTAGAATAGTGTAACCAATTTTGGGCTCTCTATATGAGAGAGATGTTGATCAACTGTGAGGAGTTCAGTGGAGGCCACCAAGCTGGTCACAGGGTTGGAGCACTTGCTCTGTGAGGAGACATTGAAGGAACTGGGCTTATTCAGTCTGAAAAAGCAAAGACTTCAGGGGGAACTAACAGTAGCCTGGCAGGTTATGGTTATTGAAGAAAGATGGAGCCAGGCCCTTCAATGTGGCTCATGGGAGGTGGATGAGAGACAACATGCGTAAGATAAAACAAGACAGGTTCAGACTGGATAACGGAAAAGCTTTTCCACCATGAGGACAGTCAAGTAGAACAGGTTGTCCAGGGAGGCTGTGCACTCTCCATCCTTGAATGTTTTCAAGATAAAGGCCTGAGTAATCTGATCTCATCTCACGGCTGACCTTGCTTCAAAGTGGAGGTTGGACTAGATGAGCTCCTCAGGTCCCCCCCAGCCTGAATTTTCCTGTGCTTCTGTGATCTGTAAAATATCCATAATTTTGCCACGTGATAGAGCAGATGTCATCTTTCACCAACCATTAAATATTTTTGCAGACCACCCCAATTACAGTTCTGAATAGCTAACTGAAATTTGAAGGCTTCTCTAACTGTTGCGGATTGTTTTACTCAGAAGAATAGCTGTGTGATGAATGGTATTTCTTTTGGAAATGATTTGACTTGCATCTATTTTGTCCTGCAACTACAACTATGCTGCAGAGCTCTGTAGACTGCAAAATCAGAAAACCTGTAAAAGAAGTCGATTGCACCTCTTTTATGCATCAATGTAAGTGGTTTTCAAGATCCACGTAAAATTGTGCAAGCGTTTTGAAAATGAAAAAGGGACGAAGGGGAAAGGGCTTTACTGGATTCTCAGAGCCGGGGCTGATACGGCAGGCTGGACAGCTTTTCTTTTACCCTTAGCATGAGAAGAAACCCAACTGAAACCCAATGCTGGAACGAACAGGACCATTACTGATATTTTGAACAGAAACAAACTTTCAGCTCCATTTTGGATTTTTTTCAATTATGAAAGTGCTTTACTCAATGTGCTCTTCCTGGTTGAGTTGTAACCACAGACCAACAAAAAAATCCTTACATTTCTCACTGGTTTCTTTCAGTGTAATGAACACCATAAATGATGAAAAAGATGTCTGTTGGGGGCAGCTGATCATGGATACCATCCTCAACAGTATAGATTCAGACAAGAACACAGTCTTTGCCACAAGCACGTACTCTGTTGTGATTATATATGACTTTTATATTTTAGTTAAATGGATGTACTGATCCAAATACCAACCAAAGTTACTTCACAAAAACGGTAAGTGTATTTACAGAGTGAATAAGTTACACAGTTGTCAGAATAAAAGTGTCTCAGATGTGCAACAGATTTACATGCATACATTTAACACTGGACGGCAGTTAAATGTAAGAAAAAACCATACAGGTATGACTTTTATATATACATTACAAATAAAATAAGACATCTCTTTAAAGAAACTTATAATGAGAACTTGCATTTCACGTTAATATTTTTACTTTTTATACTCAAAATTCATATTAAATAAAAATATGCATGCATAACAGTTCAAAAGATTTGACTCTGTGATGGGACTTTCTCCTACAAAATGGCAAGTTAATTTAGATCAACCATCCTTTAATAGTATAAATATATTAATAAAAGCAACCCTCTAGTAAAAAGCAGCCAAGGTCCTTTAAAAAAAAAAAGAAAATCTAGCAAGACCATTCATGATGCTTGGGGGCCTAAGAACAGACCTCTGCAATATGATCCAGTACCTTCAGAGACAGTAGCCTAGTAACATTAGGAAATGTACTTCATAGCAGCTCGTTGTTTTAAGATACAGTAATCATATTCAAATTACAGTGTACATTAAACTGTAGTCCATTTACAATTTGTTTCATATATACAGGCTCTCAGCTTTTGACCAACAAGTTTGCGAGATTCTGTGGCCAGCTTCATTCTGCCCATCTTTCACTCAACCAAATAAGAGAAAAAAGGAAAAAATGTACAAGTTGTTTGTTTTTTTTTAACAAAAAATATTATTTTGTGAAGGAAACATTGCACTTTTGCCAACCTAAAATAAAGGAAGTATTGTTCAGTGTAGTAGGCTTTGGTATGCAATGGAAGTCACTTCTTCAGTAGTGAGTTGCAGTTGCTCAGTGAAATGCTAACTGATTTTTGTGCAACAGAGAACAAAGGATGTTGTCCCGGATGCTCTATGCTACCTTTGTCCTTACAGTATTGCTACACGTTTGAAGTTCAGCCCATATCTTTTTAGAAGAAATCCTAAATGTAACAAGAGTGAGTACAGTTTGACCAAACCTTTGTAAGGCTGAGAAGACATTGAGCCACCTCACTCCAACAGGGCAGCACTCCCGGCTTGCAAGAGGACACAAGAGTCCTGTCAGAGACTTGTGCCGGAAATGCTGGAGTCTGGAAGAAAAGTATTGATGACCCGGTAACTCTGAGCTCTGCGAATCATGTCGCGGATCTCTATATTCAGTTCCATTAATTTGGTACAGATTTCAGTCAGGCTCTGGTTGGAGCCCACCAGTGCATAGGTGCCCGTCTGACCCAAGGTTTGGTGCCGGAAGTAAATGTTCAGTAGTGTCTGGACTTCATCATCAGAGCTACTTCCAAAGATATCATTGGGCCACAAAATCCTGCAATCAAACAGGAAAAGAATGTGCGTATCATTATGGGTTTATTAGCACAGATGGAAACTAGGTGATAGAGATCTCTAAAAGGAGAACTGACTCGCACACGCTTATAAGCCAGGAGCAACTCACTGTTCTACGCTACTCATTTGTTACCCGGACTCTGGTGTCAGGCACAGAAATCACATAAAAGCGCAATTCCTATTACCTAAACCAAAAAAAGCTTAAGAAAACTCATTCAAATAAGTGAAAGTGAAACTGGGCTGAATGTTAGCTGATGCCAGTGACAGACATCTGTAAGGAATTAGCTCTATAAAAAGATTCTTAAGAGCCTCACAGAAGTACTTTTGATCTATGCAATGCAATTAAACATCCTCATTGTTGCAAGCATAGATGTTTGTACTACTGCTTTGGTATTGTTACTTGTGGCACACCCCTGCAAAAGTTAGTAATATCAATGGCCCCATGTACCTTGTTGAAACATATTAAATTAGTTATGCTGACTCAGCACATTACATTCAGTATAAAGTTAGGAAGATAATAAATGCAAATGATTCTATTAACATGAAAGTCTAATATGAGCCATGTAGCAAGACTTGCCTGCATTCCCTTATTTGTCGGATGGCTTTAACAAGTTCATTGTTTTTCAGACACTCCAGCATGGACTGAATAGCTGCTTCCGTAGAATTGAATGTGGGCTCCGATTCTGTCATCAGAGGCTCAGCTGCGATTGCAGCAGTAGCATCCTTAAGATTTTTCTTCAACTCACTCAGTTCTC